AGCGGAGGGGGCGGGGCGAGCTCCGGGGGCGGGGCTCTGTCCTCTCCCTGGCCCCCGGGCCCCGCCTGGGAGCCCGCGGCTTCCCGGTTGGCGTGTCCAGAGCACACCGTCGTTTTTCAGGTGTGGGGAAGTCATGCCTCCTCCTACAGTTCACCGATAAGCGGTTCCAGCCTGTGCACGACCTCACAATAGGTAAGCGTATTCCCTCGTTCCAGAACAGATGAAAGCTGTCTGACTGAACTGCTGAAGGAGAAAGTTCACAGTCTCCGTATTCTAAGTAAAAAGTTACGCCTCCCTGCCTTAGTCCGAAGACGTGGTCTATGAAAAGCGATTAAAACTGGTAATAGAGGGTAAATAATTGAAAAGTGACTTTAGAGACGGACGTGAGGTAAACACTAGTTGCCATAGCAATGTTTCCTCAAATGCAACTTGTATGTTTATGGAAAATCCCACGAAAACACAACTGCTTATTCAAAAACTCATCTGTACTTAATACCAACCTCACATTTCTCGAAGTAAATACGGACAAACGATTCTTTTTGTGTTGGAGAGGGAAAAAATCCATTTAAGAGCCATCCCAGTCCTTCCTTCTCTTCCTCCTCCCACTTCTCATTCTCCTGCTTTTTGAGACAGATTCTGCGCTTGTAGTCCAGGCTAGCTTCAGAGTCACTCTATAATGCACACTGACCATGAATTCCCAGAGATTCTCCTGCCTCAGCCACTGAGTGTTGTGATTACAGGCATGCACTGTCACACAGGCTTCATTTTGTTTTTGTGCCAAATACTGACTTTGAACTCCTTGTGTAACCTGAAAATGACCTTGAACAGGTCTTAATCTTACTGCGCCCCCACCTTCTAAATTAATTGCTGGAATTAATTGTGCTCAACCTGATTGGTTTTTGTTGTTGTTTTAGTTTTTTACTCATTGTTTTTATTTATTATTATTATTTTGTATTTTGGTTTTTCAAGACAGGATTTCTCTGTGTAGCCCTAGCTGTCCTAGAACTAGCTCTATGGACCAGACTGGCCTCAAACTTTTTTTTTTTTTTTTTTTGGTTTTTGAGACAAGGTTTTTCTGTAGCTTTTGGAGCCTGTCCTGGAACTAGCTCTTGTAGACCAGGCTGGCCTCAAACTCACAGAGATCTGCCTCCTGAGTGCTGGGATTAAAGGAGTGTGGCGGCACCACCTGGCTGAAATTACATTCTTCACTATTTTGAAAGAAAGGAAAACTGTCAGTGATTTTTTTTTCTCAAAAAGTTACCTCATTCTTGATGAGGTAACAGGTGGAAACAATTTTTTATATCTTTCTAATAGATTGTAGCACCCTAAAAGTAGAAATATTATATAGAGAGAGGATATCTACATAGGATGACTAAATTGGTATTATAGCATTTCTGAAGGTAAACCAGATTAGTTATATTGAAAATCTGGATTCCTTCTGCTATGTGCAAAATACCATATGAAGATAGAAAAGGGGACAAATTGACTTATGGTGCAATGTTTTTAACATGACTGTTTTTGGAATATTGTCCTTAAGATGAATTTTACCTTGAAATAGAAGAATGACAAAAGCCTTATCTATTTGCCTGTTTCCATACCGCTTTGAGAGAGGCAATTTCTGGTGAACTCTGGGAATTACTGGTGATTGAAGATATTTTGTCCTTGAACAAGACAACTTTCTTTCTTTCTTCCTTTCTTTTTCTTTCTTTTTTTCTTAATGTGTGTTGTGTTTTTTTCAAGACAGGGTTTCTATGCACATCCCAGCCTTGGCAATCCCAGAACTTGCTCTGTAGACCAGACTGGCCTTGAACTCACAGAGCTCCACCTGCCTGCTGTCAACTTTCTTAATTACAAATGAAAATACTTCAGAATTTCAGTAGAGAAGTACTGCTTCGGGGCTGGAGAGATGGCACAGCTGTGAAGAGCACTGGCTGCTCTTCCAGAGGACCTGAGTTCAGTTCCCAGCACCCACATGGCAGCTCACAGCTGTCTGTAACTCCGGTTCCAGGGGATCCAACACCCTCACAAAGACATATGTGCAGGCAAAACAGCAACTTACATTAAAAAAATAATAAAAATAAAAATAATTTTAAAAAAGAAGTACTGCTTCATACACAGAACTAATAGGCATTCTTAGACACTGTCAAGAAGCTCTTTCAAGGGGTTGGAGAAATGACTCAGCAGTTAAGAGCACTGACTGCTCTTCCAAAGGACCCGGGTTCAATTCCCAGAAACCACATGGCAGCTCACAACTGTCTGAAAATCCAGTTCCAGGGGACCTGACACCTTCACACCAATGCACATAAAATAAAAGATAAATTTAAAAAAAAAGAAGAAGAAGAAGAAGTTCTTTCAAGGGGGCTGGAGAGACGACTCAGCAGTTAAGACCACTGACTGTTCTTCCAGAGGACCAGGGTTCAATTGTCACCTCCTGAATGGCAGGTCCTAACCATCTGACATTCTAGTTCCAGGGGAAACCATTGCCCTCTTCCTCAACAAGTATGTAGCACACATATTTACTTGCAGTCAAAACACATATACACATAAAATTTTAAAAGCCTAAAAAAGAAAAAAAAGAAAGAAATACTTCAAGTTTAAAAGTTCTTTGAAGAAGGCTGGAGAGATGGCTCAGTGGTTGAGAGCACTGGCTGCTCTTCCAGAGGTCCTGAGTTCAATTCCCAGCAACCACATGGTGGCTCACAGCCATCTATAATGAGATCTGGCGTCCCCTTCTGGTGTGCAGGCACACATGAAAGGAAGGCTGTATATGTAATAAATAAATCATTTTTAAAAAAAAGTTCTTTGAAGAAATTACAGAATTAAATATTACCTAGTCAGATTTCAGTATAAACTAACATTCCTAATTCTCCACCTGGGGGGGGCACAACCGTCTATAATGAGATCTGGTGTCCTCTTCTGGTGTGTAGGCATACATTCAGGCAGAACACATAATAAATATTTTTTAAAAAGATTTATTTATTCTATGTGTGGGGGGGTTTTGCCTGTGTGCATGTCTGTCAGATGCTCTGGAACTGGAGTTATAGACAGTTGTGAGCTTCATGTGGGTGCAGGAATTAAACCCAGGTCCTCTGAAAGAGCAGTCAGTGCTCTTGACCACTGAACCATTTCTTCAGCCTCAAATAAATAAATCTTTAAAAAGGAAAGGAAAAAAGAGTTTATCTCCTTTTTGTTTTATTTTTCCTAGAATTGTAAATTTTCTAAACTTTTTTCTATGAATTATAGATTTATATTTATTTTTCATTTAATGGAAACCAGTTATCACAAAGCTTCTCCACAGTGGCTAGACATTCTCTTTTGTTTTTCATTGAGTGGATTTTCTGTGTGGCCTTGGCCTTCCTGGAACTTGCTTTGTAGTGTTTTTCAGACATTTGCAAATTGTTACAGTAACTGCTCTGTGGTTTTTGTTTGTTTGTTTGGTTGGTTGGTTGGTTGGTTGGTTGGTTTGTTGTTTTTTCTTTTTTCAGGGGGGGAGGCTGATTTGTTTTGGTTTTTATTCTTTGTTTTGATTTTCTTTTTTGAAACAGAGTTTTTCTGTGCAACAGCCCTGGCTCTCCTGTAACTCACTCTGTAGACCCGCCTGCCTCTGCCTCCTAAGCACTAGGATTACAGGCATGCACCACCACCTTTGTCACTTTTCTTAAGGCTAGTAAGAGGTAATCTAGAGTCTTAGTCATTGTGAAGTCTTAGAATAAATCAACTGATTGTGTAATAAACCAAACCTGGTTTATTATCAGAATTTATAAAACCAGACCTAGGGAAAGGCCCTGGGGACACATCTTCTCCCCCTTCAGATTTTTTAAATATTTTTATTTGTATTGTATGTCTATTTGCATATATGTGTACAGGTGTCTACAGGGTCCCCTGGAGCTGGAGTTAAAGGTGCTTGTGAGCCATCAGGCATGGGAACCTAACTCTGGTCCTCTCTAAGAGCAACTACTGAGTCATCTATGCAGAGCCCCGCCCCGGGTCTTTTTTTAATTAATTTATTTATTTTATATGCATTGGTGTTTTGCCTGCTTGTATGTCTGTATGAGGGTATTGGATCCTCTGGAACTGGAGTTACAGATAGCTGTGAGCTGGCATATGGGTGCTGGGAATTGAACCAGGGTCCTCTGGAATCACAGCCAGTGCTCTTAACCTCTGAACGATTTCTCCAGCCCTGCCTTCCCAACCAGGGACATTTTGTTTTGTTTGTTTTTTTGTTTCTCGAGACAGGGTTTCTCTATGTAGCTTTGGAGCCTGTCCAGTCCTAGAATTCACTCTGTAGATCAGGGTGACCTTACCTACATTTGGGTGTATTACCACTTAGAATCCACTTGTTTATTTTTGGTGCAAGGGATTAAACCAAGAGACTTATGTCTTTTGCAATTGCACAACCACTGTGTTACACATAGAGATGTAGAATGTGATGTTTTTTTCAACCTGTGCAGTCTCAGGGCAACCTTTGAATTTGTTATACAACTTCTGATCCTAGTGCTCCTACTGCCTCTACCTCTTGAGAGCTGGGAGGTTCACAGTCATGTTCTGCATGACCAGTAAAGGGGTTTGAGTGTGTGTGTGTGTGTGTGTGTGTGTGTGTGTGTGTGTGTGTTTGTTCGGTTCTAGGGATTGAGTCTAGGGCCTCGTGCATGCTAGGCAAGTCTTTATCAAGTGAGTGACATCCCCCTAGTCCATGGATTTTTAATTCTAGAGAATAAGTCCAAAGGAATACAAACTTAATTGAGCAATAAACAGCAGTAATGAGCTGAATATCAGTGAATGCAGACAAAACACTCATGCTAACACTTCGGGGGAAAGTATTCACCTCCAGATTAACATGTATGTGTTCATGACAACTGTATCCATTCTGGGTCTTTACTGACAGGTGTGGAGTTTGGAGCCCGTATGGTCAACATTGATGGAAAGCAAATCAAACTGCAAATCTGGGATACGGTAAGAGAGGCTGAAATAATTTAATACCAGACGAAGACCCAGTTATAACAATAAAAGGTCATGTAGCCGTGTGTGGTCCTGTAGCCTGCAGATTGAAAACTGTAGGATGGGGCAAGAAACTGAAGAGAGGTCAAACCAGGAGGGATTACACACTGAGATACTCAGATGGAAAACAAGTCATACTTTTTTTTTAATTTTAAGTGACTCAATTTTGTGTGGCAGTGGTGGTGTCTGCATTCAGTCACAGCACTCAGGACACAGAGGCAGGCAGATCTTTGCGAGTTCAAGTCCAGCATGGTCTACAAAGCAACTTCCAGGACAACCAGGGCTAAGCAGTGAAACCCCGTCTTGAACCTCCCCCGCAAAAAAAAGAGACACAAGTAATACAGTAAAATATAAAAAACAAAGTTTATGTAGCAAACAGTGAATTTCCTTTACATAAGACCCTTTTCTGTCCCACACTGTGGCTATTCTGCCAGAGGACTCCACTGTTAATGGTTTAGTGTATATGCTTTTAGACTTCTATGCATTTAAATTTATAAATAATAGACATTTTGCCAGGAATGATGGTGCACACCTAACAAGATCTCTGTGTTAGAGGCCAGACTGGCCTACATAGTGAGTTCTAGTCCAGCCAGGCTACAGAGTGAGACCTATCTCAATAAATCAAATAAATATAAATAAGTAAATAAAAGTACAAGTATACAGTAGAGTTGTTTTCTTTATTATGTATACAATGTTCTGCCTGCCTGTATGCCTATGGCCAGCAGAGGGCACCAGTTCTCATTACAGATGGTTATGAGTCACTATGTGGTTGCTGGGAATTGAACTCGGCCTCTGGAAGAACAGCAGTCAGTGCTCTTGACCCCTGAGCCTTCCCTCCAGCCCAAGATTTTTCAAAGACGTTTTAAATCTTATTTACTACTTGTGTGTGGCAGGGTATGTGTGCAACCTGGTGCATGTGGAAATGAGCCGCCTGCTTTGTGGAGCGGGCCTCTTCCCACCTTGTCAAGGGTTGCAGGGACCACAGTCGTCACAGAGTGTATGTGCATTGGTGGATATTTAGGTTGTTTCTAGTTTTTAGCTGTTGCACAGCTTATTAAACACTCCTTTATTTATTTATTTTTTAGGGTAAAAGTTGCTTGTACTTTGTTAGCATCAAAGTCTAACTTAGTTTAGCGTAATTTTTCCTAATGTAGAGAAATTGCCTTTGTGTGCAATGTTTCATTTATACTATTCCTTCCTTAAAGGAAAATATTATAGTCTCTATTCTAATTAAGGAGAACTAGAAAATAGTTCAAAATATTTAGCTAAAGTCTCTTCCTGTTTTTATTTAATTCTTATTATTTGACTTGCCTCATTTGGCCAGTTTTTGTTTTTAACACTCTGCCCCATCAAGCCTATGGAATATGACTTTGTCTCAGGGTTCGCTCCTAAGTCCCAGCCGGTCACTACACACTCCCTTCTGCTGCTGCTCTGAGGTTGTCACCATTCTTCACTCAGAACTCGACAGTGCAGCTCAGCTTCTGTTATTACTTCCACTAACGGGAGCCCCCGTCCAAAGGGTGAAGCCGGCAGATATAAAGACCAGTATAAGTTAGCTTCTATCTTTTTGACTTAAGTTAATGTCATTTAATTTTTTCTTTCTGTATTTTTTTTTTAAAAAAATAGATGTTTTAGTTCTAAGAATAAAATCTAGTAGATGCCAGCTAGTAGTATGGCCAGATGGCCAGGGCCATGTGCTTGTTTGCTGGCTTGTTTGTTTGTTTGTTTGTTTTTGAGACAGGGTTTCTCTGTATAATACTGGCTGTCCTGAAATTCACTCTGAGACCAGCCTGGCCTTGGCCTTGAACTCATGTAGATCCACCTGCCTCTGCCTCCCAAATGGGCTTTTTATTGCCTTAAGTGCTGACATGCATGAGAAATGGTTGGGTCATGAAGAAAGTTTAGAGCCACAAATGTATGTTATGTGGATAGGATCTTTAAGAACTACATGGTAGGGCTGGAGAAATGGCTGCTCTTCTAAAGGACATGGGTTTAACTTCTGGCCCCCACATGACAGCTCACAACTCTCTGTAACTCCAGTTGCAGGGGATCTGGCACCCTCACACAGACATCTATGCAGGCAAAACACCAATGCACATAAAATAAAATATAAATCGTTAAAAATTTTAAAGGAAGAAGAAGAACTGCATGGCAAGCTTGGCGTGCTGGTACATGCCATCTCAGCACCAGGAGGCAGAGGCCGGCCTGGTCTACATAGAGTTCCAGGCTAGCCAATACAATGAAACAAACAGACAGACAAACAAACAAACAAACAAGTAGAGAACACCCCCCCACCACCAACAAAACAACAAGAAAAATCAAAACAAAAAACCAGCATCTGGCTTATAGCTGATACTTGAAACTCTGTATCTTGCTCTCTTGTGGGAGAAATGAAAACGCTATAGAGTCTCTTTACCAGAGATCCACGGCCCCTTGATGTGCTGGCTGACCTGCACCTGGCCTACTTACTGCTCTGTTGCTGTGAGAAGACATCACGACCAAGACAATTCTTAGAAAGAAAGCATTGAATTGGGTGCTTGCTCACAGTTATAGAGGGGTATTCAGTGGTCATCAGAGCAGGAAGCAGGCTGCCAAGTACTGGGACAGCAGCTGAGAGCTTCACATCCTGATCTGCAAGCATCAGTCAGAGCCCAGCCCCAGGGACACACTTCCTCCTACAAGGCCACACCTCCTAATCCTTCCCAAACAGTTCTACTAACTGGGGACCAAACATTCAAACCTATGAGCCTATGGGGCCATTCTCTTTCACACAGCCTACATGCCTGTCCCTAACAGGCTGGTGCAGGAGCTCCTTGAATTCATGGCTGCCTGAGCTACATTGTGAGTTGTAGACTAGTGAAGGCTACAGAATGAGACTCAGATTCACAAAATAAAACCCAGAACGAGAAAACTCCATGTTAGGTGTTTGCCTCTTCAACCATTTTTATTTATTTTTTATTTTTATTTTTATTTTTTTTGTTGTTTTTTGAGACAGGGTTTCTCTGTGTAACAGCCCTAGTTGTCCTGGAATTAGCTGTTGTAGACCAGGCTGGACTTGAACTCACAGAGATCCGCCTGCCTCTGCTTCCCAAGTGCTGGGATTAAAGGCATGCGCCACCATCCGGCCTCTTCAACCATTTTTAATTGAGCGTGGACAAGGGCATTTGAGACTGATGTAGACCCACCTAAGTTGAAGTGGACAGCCTTGCTAGCATCCTGGCTTCAATGTTCCTGAACTTGACTGAGATGAAAAGTAGAGATTGGATGTTAAGGAGTTTCCTGGTCTTCTGCTGGAAGTCAGACTGTCTTTCTTTGTGCTGTTCACTTCCCCACCCTATCTATCCCCCACCACACACACACACCTTGCTTTTTTGAATCAGGGTCTCACTATGTAGCTTTGGCTGGGTAGCAGTCTCATTTTTTTCCTCTCAGCCTCCTATGTGTGTGGCAGCTTACCTTAGAAGGAATAAGAGGAAGATTTTCAATAGAGTAGAAGAGAGCGAAAAGAGATGAGCCTAGCATGGTGGCTCACACTTTTATTCCCAGCACTCAGGAGGCAGAAGCGGTGGATCTTTGTGAGTTTGAGGCCAGCCTGGTTTACAAGAGCTAGTTCCAGGACAGGCTTCAAAGCTACAGAGAAACCCTGTCTTGAAAAACCAATAAATAAATAAACAAACAAATAAATAAATGATAAGAGTAAACAGGACCCCAAAAGAGCTAGGGTATATTATATGCCACAGTAAATATAAAATTCTACGGAGCCCTTAGTGGACAAAGGTGCTTTTCAATCTTAAAATTGTATCTAGAATTACCAGTAAAAGGCTAAGAAATTGTGTGATGCTTATAGAGCCTCACATGTTGTCCATCTAGAGAGATGACCACTGTAAGGTAGCAGACTCTCTCTCTCTCTCTCTCTCTCTCTCTTTTATATATATTTATTTATTTATTATGTGTACAGCATTCTGTCTGTGTGTATGCCTGCATGCCAGAAGAGGGCACCAGACCCCATTAGAGATGGTTGTGAGCCCATGTGGTTACTGGGAATTGAACTCAGGACCTTAGGAAGAGCAGGCAATGCTCTTAACCTCTGAGCCATCTCTCCAGCCCCAGACTCTCTCTTTTATACCCCAATTTAGATTGTAAATCTCCAGAGCCACAGAGAACCCTTGTCTTGAAAAACAGAAAAAGTATCTAGAGCATGGGAGGAATTAATTGCTCAGTTATAAATAAGGCAGTATTTTGGTCCCATTAGAAATGAGATAAGATTATGAACAGGATTGTTGGTTTGTTTGTTTGTTTTTCAAGGCAGGTTTCTTTGTGTAGCCGTGACTGTCCTGTGTAACATGAGGGCCGGCTTGTTGGGGTTTCCGTCCCGCCCGGTACCCCAACAGCCGGCAAATCCCAAAGAGAAATTACACACAGGACTCCATAAGGTTATAAACTGATTGGCCCATTTGGTCAGGCTACTTATTAGCTCTTATAACTTATGTTACCCCATTATCCTTATCTATTTTAGCCACATGGGCTCAGTACCTTTCTCAGTGTGACAGCTTACATGTTGCCTCTTCGGTGGTCTGTGCAGGAGTGGCTGAGAGAGAGCTTCTGCTTCCAGAATACTCCCAGTCTCTTTGCTCCACCCCTACTTCCTGTCTGGCTTTCCCGCCTATACTGCCTGCCTGGCCAATCAGCGTTTTATTAAAATATGATTGACAGAATACAGATAATTCTCC